TAAGGGTGCGTTTACGTTGGAGCTGCGATAAACGATACTAGCAAAATAACGAAATTGTTGTCATAGTTTTATATGCAAGTGTTTATATTGGAGCGACGAATTGTCACAAGCTTGACAGCCGACTAACGATAAGAGCGACGCTAATTGTATTCCCTATTTTCTTTGCTATTATCAGGTGTGGTCGGCATGGATATCGACTGTTTAATTAGTGAAATTTTTGTTAGATCCCCCTTGTGGGACCAAAAAGATAAAAATTACCACAACAGATTTGTTCTGACAAATCGTTTTCAATTCATTTTGCGCAGCTCTTATCGCTGCTCTCATTGTTGTTCTTATCGTTTATCGCAGCTCTCGTTCCAATATAAACACCTGCATATAAAACTATGACAACAATGTCGTTGTTTAGGTAGTATCGTCGCTATTATCATTTATCGTAGCTCCAACGTAAACACACCCTAAACCCGGATATTTCTAGTTCTAGGTCTAGAGTTAGTTCTAATCTTAGTTCAATAACAATTCACAACGTATCTAGTGCCAACTAGCGCTACTTCGAACTGTCACTAGAACTAACACTAGACCTAGAACTAGAAACATTCGGGCTTAGCCGCACGTCTTTAAAGACGGCTAAACCCGAATGATTCTAGTTCTAGGTTTAGAGTTAGTTCTAGTTTTAGTTCAATAACAATACACAATCTAGGGCTATCTAATACCAACTAGCGCTACTTCGAACTGTCACTGGAACTAACACTAGGCCTATAACTAGAAACATTTGGGCTTAGCCGTATGTCTTTACAGACGGCTAAACGCGAATGATTCTAGTTCTAGGTTTAGAGTTAGTTCTACTTTTAGTTCAATAACAATACACAACCTAGGGCTATCTAGTGCTAACTAGCGCTACTTAGAACTATCACTAGAACTAACACTAGAATCAGAAACATTCGGGCTTAGCCGAACGTCTCTAAAGACGGCTAAACCCGAATGATTGTAGTTCTAAATCTAGAGTTAGTTTTAGTGAAAGTTCAATAACAATACACAACGTAGGACTATCTAGTGCCAACTAGCGCTACTTCGAACTGTCACTAGAAATAACAACTAACACTAGGCCTAGAACTAGAAATATTTGGGCTTAATCGTATGTCTTTAAAGACGGCTAAACTCTAATGATTCTAGTTCTAGGTTGAGAGTTAGTTCTAGTGACATTTCTAAGTAGTGCTAGTTGACATTAGATAGCCTTACGTTGTGTATTATTATTGAATTAAAACTAGAACTAACACTAGACCTAGAACTAGAAACATTCGTTTAGATAAAATGGATTCTAAGTTCATCGTGTATTTTATTAAATATAACCAAAATGAACGATGAATGATCATTTTGAAAGTGAGTTTGATCGATATCGGATTTTGCTGGCCTTTTAATCTCCTAGCGGTTTTGACACAGTTTGTTGTTGATGACCTTTATTGTATACAGTAAGTTAGTATTTAAGAATTCAATATCGATTAACGAAAAATCTTATACATACGTTTCGTCAGAGTGTTTAACGAAAAAATTTAAGTAAGTAGTGAAACATAATTACAATAGAAGGTGGATAACGATTATTCTGGAATTGAACTGTTATAGAATTATTGGTAATGTTAAGTTCTCTTCGCAACATGTGTCACCACCTACACAGTTTTTTTATCATTAAATTTTTTGACGTCGTGCCTGAAGAAGGGTGAGGTTATCGCTCGAAACATTTTGTAGCACAGAAATAAAATAAAGATCATTCATCGTTCATTTTGGTTATATTTAATAGAAACATTGGGGCTTAGTCGCATGTCTTTAAAGACGGCTAAACTCGAATGATTCTAGTTTTAGGTCTAGAGTTACTTCTAAAAAGTTCAATCTTTCAACTATTAACTTTAACATATATTATTTGTCAACTTTATAAAAAATCCTTTAAAATGAGTCCAAACTCGACATATTTAACTTTGATATTGATGGAGACAATCACTTCCGGTTTGAAACGTCAACGTCAATTTTGACATATCTATCATCTTCATTAAAAAACCTTTCAATTGAGTCCAAATACGACGCACTTATCTCAAAAAGCGAAAAAGTTAGAATAAAAAACATTAAACCCGAAATTAGCAACAATTTTAAATATTAATACCAACCTTAATTTTTTATTTTTTTTGTAAAATATATTTATTTTTGTGACAAATATTAAGACATTTTATAAAAATAAAGAATATGTCAAAATGACATTGACATTTCAAACCGGAAGTTGCTTATATCTCGAGTAATATTGGAATTAAAGGTATCATGTTTGGACTCATTTTAAAGGATTTTTCACGACGATTACAAATATGTCAAAATTGATGTTGACATTCTTAGCCGGAAGTTGACCATAACTTATATAATATTGAAAATAAATATGTCGTGTTTGTACTCATTTTAAAGGATTTTTAATAAAGATTACAAATATGTCAAAATTGAGGTTGGCATTTTAAACCTGAAGTTAGTTATCATATAATAGAAGTTTTATTACTGAAGTTAATCTAGTTAACGTGTTTTTTGGGTCATTTCACATTGATTAAAAAAAATCATTGATTTTTAAGCCACATGATGATTCTTGAATTTTTCTCAAGTTTCTTAATATTTTTTTTCTTAAAAAAGAGCGTTCCTAAATTTTAACCTGTAAACTTGTAACACTTCGTCCTTAATTTAATTTTACAACTTTTTAAACTTTAATTTTGTAAATTAGTAACTAATAGTCTGATTTTGAAACTAGTTAGACTTAAATTCTATATAAAATAGAAACCAGTTGAAAAGTACAAATTCAAATTCTAGATAATTTTCTTCAAAAATATTTACATGAAACATCATTTTGACTCTAGTATTTGTGATTAAATTTATGCCACGACTTACAGAAACACCTTGTATAATCGTAAAACGATTGACCAAGCGAATTCTGTGCTTGTGATGACTGTCAACAGTGTTCTGTGATAAAAATAGACAGACACCAAACAATTTTCAATCGTTTGAGCTTGTCTATTCTGAAAACTCTTATATTTTTAGAGAGATGAAAACGAAAATCTCGTTTTTCTCAACATTGTTCATTTGTCGCTTAGTCAAGTGATGCATAACGCGGTCCAATTAAAACTAGAGCTAACACTAGACCTAGAACTAGAAACACTCGGGCTTAGCCTCAAGTCTTTCAAGACGGCTAAACCCGAATGATTCGAATTCTAAGTCTAGAGTTAGTTCTAGTTTTAGTTCAATGACAATAGACAACCTAGGGCTATCTATTGCCAACTAGCGCTACTTAGAACTATCACTAGAACTAACACTAGACCTAGAAACATTCGGGCTTAGCCGCGCGTCTCTAAAGACGGCTAAACCCGAATGATTCTAGTTCTAGGTATAGTGTTAGTTCTACATCATTTGGGTTTAGCTGCACGTGTCTAAAGACGGCTAAACCCGAATGATTCTAGTTCTAGGTATAGTGTTAGTTCTAATTTTACACTTGCACTGTCACTAGAACTAACACTAGACCTAGAACTAGAAACATTCGAGTTTAGCCGTCTTTAAAGACGTGCGGCTAAACTCGAACGTTTCTAGTTCTAGGTCTAGTGTTAGTTCTAGTCTTAGTTCAATAACAATACACAATGTAGGGCTATCTAGTGCCAACTAGCGCTACTTAGAACTGTCACTAGAACTAACATTAGACTGTCACTAGGTCTAAGGTTAGTTCTAGTTTTAGTTCAATAACAGTACACAACCTAGCAGTTTATAGTGCTAAGTAACACTATTAAGCACTGTCACTAAGCCTAGTGTTAGTTCTACTTTTAATTCAATAAAAATATACAACAATTTAGCACTGAATAACAATTCAGTTGCAAGCAGTCTGAAGATATACGGCTAAACCCGAAACTTTCTAGTTCTAGATTTAGTGTTAGTTCTAGATTTAGTGTTAGTTCTAGTTTTAGTTCAATAAAAGTATACAACAATCTAAAGCTAACACTAGACCTAGAACTAAAAACATTCGGGTTCCTTCGTTTCTTAAGACGGATAAAGCTGAATGGTTTTCCAATTAGAATTGGAATTAGTTAAGGAAATTTCACTGTATACATATATACAAAATATATATGTATATATATATATAATGTGAAAGTTGAGTGGAATGACAAAAGTTTAGAAAGGAATTGACGATTAAATCTCGTATTTCTTCCATTGACGAAGACCGAAACGACCTTTCGCGGGACTCGGGGTCGAACGCTTAACGGAAATTGACTTAATCTTAGCGGATGCCATTCGGAGATTTTGATCCATGATCCATTGCTTTTAGCCCGGGTTATCGAGATTACAACGCCTACTGGATTGGAGCGTCTGACAAAATGCACGAAGGGGATTTTCATTGGACTGATGGTTTACCGTTTTCATTTACAAGTAAGTACCAAAAATAGATTTATTTCTAATAAATATCGTAATATAAAATTATCGTTTCTTAGTTATGATTAGTTTTTAACATCGATTTATAATCAAATAATTCTTCTTATTATAGTACGTATATAAGGAGTTATCTCGGCGATGTGTGACTAAGAGCCGAGTGTTGTACTTATTAAACAGAATTTTGTAGTACAAAATTGATTTATGTACAAAATTTTTACATAAATCCCGAACTACACTGATTTCGCCCTCTGAAACTCTCATTAACTCGAACTCAATCGAAACTTCTATAGAAATAGCATCTTTTTCGAAATCATTTGCCAAATTTGGGAAAACAACGATGTTAAATATTACGATTTTAACTATATCAAATATCCACGATGTAATAGACGTAGAACTGCTCTAAAATGCTTCAAGAACATTAAACTGCAGCAAGAAGACCAAATAGATAGCGTTGATTATTTCCAATCCCATCATTATCTGCAAATTTCATCCTTCAAAAGGCTTCCTTTTTATTATATGTACAGGGTGTCCAAATTTCGATGGGTTTGCAGGATATCTCAGTTATTATGAAAGATAGAAAGTTGCGGTTTTCGCGAACCTGA